AGTTTCCTGAGTGCTGGCTCATATTTGTTGAGGCAAAGAAGCTTATGGTCCCAACCATCTATGAAATATGGGGAGAGTGAAAGGTGTTTGTGGGATAGCTTCCCTTTTATAGAATTCACTGCTGATTAAAGTCCATAAAAATGAAAGCAGGTCACCTCTGGAATCCACTCATGCTCCTCACAGTTCGGGGTCCTCAGCATTGGACTCAGCTTATTTCTCTTGTTCCTCCCTTGGTGAGTCGTAAGGAGAACATGCGTTAGTAATATAAGTTCCCAAGATATTCTAGTCTTTCTTTTTATTAAGTATACCACAGGTGAGAATCAATTAACCAAGGAACTAACATTATTCTTTTGTGTGTTTGAAATAGATCACTTGGTTTTGGATAGATTATGTATATTATATTTTTCATTGTTAGGTTTTTCTGAATGTAATATAATTTCAACTGCTATCCTTTCCCAAATTGGCAGTTAGGATGTGTCTGCTCTCCAGGTTTCCCAGAACTTTTTATCCTCCATCTCATTTCTTTGTTTTATTTAAAAAAAAAAATACCCACACCAACACACCACCACCACAGCAACAAAACAAACCAAAATATTCGAACTCACTGCCATCAAGTCTTAAGTGGCTCATAGCTGACCTTCCAGGGGGGTTGCGAGGCTGTAAATCACATGGGCCTGTCATCCTTCCTCAGAGACATTAGTGGATTCAGAAGCCCAGAGAGTTGCCTTTGGGCTGGGGTTGCAACTCGCTATCCACTATGCCAGTGCACGGTCCCTCTTTTAATGACACCAAAAAGAGTAAGTTAAAAAGTAGCTGGATTTACTGCACAATATGCAGCAGCCAGCACTGAACTAAATTTCAAGAACAGTATGCGAGCTCATGTGCGCAGCTCTGTGTAAATCCTGAGGAAGAACCGATGAACACGGGACATACTTGCAAACTATGTTCCAAAGGGGAGGTGTTTTGCATAAAACCATTTTATTCAGAACACGGCCTTAAACTGTTTTGATGTGATATAGAGAATTGGGCATTTTAAAATCGAATGTCAGTCAAAATTAAGAATCAAGATATTTTAGTAATTTCTTCTGTGCCACGTGCTGGCCTTCTTTTGAAATTGCTGACATGAGAACAGTGGCCTGGAAGCAAGCCTGATGCCGGGCTGAAGATGGAGCCACGCTGCGTGCCCAGGGTGGGATCCTCTCTGCAGGAGAACAGTGTGGTTTTCCTTCAAGGCAAATTGCCCATAGGTTTTGTCTTTTATGTTGTATTTACTTTTAAAATTCCACTCACTCACATACCAGTGTTGATGAAATCTTGTATTTGGGAGGTTTTTTCCTATAAATATAGTATTACTAGTGGGGGGCGGGGGAGAAAGTCCCTCTTCATCATTATTCCAGTTTCACTGGAAAATTATTACGGAGACAACCTAGGAGAAACAGTTAACCCACCTCCTAGAATGAGTTTAGGTCCTTTTCGAATGTAGAACCCAGGGCAGAATGTGTTTTTGTCAATGAGGAGGAGTCTGTGAGGAGCACCCAGGAGGGAGTCTGTCCTGGAGATGTAATGGGCATGCGCAGCAGATTCCTCCACGCCCACTGTACATAAACCCCTCAGCTCCCACACCGCTGGGTGCAGTGGTTCTGAAGCATGAGTTTGCCACTATGTCCCAGATTCTCATCTCATAAGATTTGCCTTCTGTATTCTTCAGTGACTCAGTTCTTGTCTCACTATCACTTCTCCACTTTGTTTTGGTGCTGCCTGTATTTCACAAGGAAATGCTTGTACTCATATCTTCCTGTTCTAAGAATCCCAGTGAGATACCATCCAGTGATGTAGAAATGCCAACTAAGAAACTGAGTCACCTGCAAAGTGTGAATTTACAGAGAAGTCCTCTTTGAAACATCCGTCCTTTGCCTTCCCAGCTTTGGGACTCAGCTCTTCATACCTTTTGACCTTTCCATCTGCTGCCATCAGCGATTTCCTCACTTCTCTTTAGATCTTCACACAACTCTTCATTTTTCACCTTAAAAAGGTTTCCACTTGCCTTTGCAATGCTATTTTACTTACAATATACATTTCTTTCTATTTCCTCTCTTCCCTGCCAGAGTTTCAAAAGAACGTCTAAGAAAACACTTCTATTTTATCTTCCTTCACATTCCGCTTAATCACTGACAGTTTGAGTACAATTTGCCACATTTTTGTAAACAGCTCTCAAGCTCCAACTAACAATCTTATTTTGACCAAATCTAGGGGTCCTTTCTCTGCTATCTTGTCGCTCCTGTTGATTTTCGTTCCTTCCTGAAAAAAATGTGATCTAAAACTGTAGCATTAGAAATTATATGATCACACCACTTTCATTTTAAATCTGTGAGAGACAGAGGCCTAGAGATGTTGAATGACTTGTACAGCTGAAGATACTAAAACATAAAAAAATGGGCATTAGATCTAGCGATGTCATGATGGATGGAGAACAGATAGTAATTGTCAATTATTTCATCTTACTTAGATCATTAATCAGTAGCCTTGGTATCAGCAGTCAGGAAATCAAAAGATACGTTGCTTTGAGAAAGTCAGCATTCAGCAACCTCTCTAAAATTCTGAAAAGTAAGGATGTCAGCTTAAAGAAGACACCTAATCCAAGCTGTGGTTTTCTCAATTATTTACTAGGTGTCTGGGAGTTGGACATTGAATAAAGATAACAGAAGAATTGATATATTTGACTTGTGATATTGGAGATGAGTACTGAACATCCCATGAGCTGGCAAGAGAACACACAAATATTTCTTGGAGAGAGTCTAGCTAGGGACCCCCTTAGAAGAAGCAATAGAAAAACATAATCTTACATTCTTTGGACATGCCACTAGGAGGGACTAGTCCTTGGAAAAGTTCATCCTGCTCATAAAAGTGGAAAGTCATCAAATGAGGGGAAGACACTTGATGAGATGGATTTATCTTTAACAGTGGGTTCAAGTGTGGCAGAGAGGATAAGGATGGGACCTGTGAGTTCAGATCTGTCATTTTCAGGGTTACTAGGAATTGTAGTTGAGTCAATAGCACATGACAACAACATTAAGTATGACAGTTACTCTTAGTAAATCCTGGTAAAAGTCTTCAAAGCATTTCTAATTTTCATTCATTGCTCTACAGCATCTTCCAAACTGGCCTCTATTGTTTCCTTCCATAGCCTGCTCTCCATTACAGCACTTTAGACCCTCCATGGTCTAACTCTGCTTTCTGGCCTTATTGCCTTCTAGTCTTCCCTTAAACCACTAGCACTGTCCTCCATAATGTGGACTCTTGCTGGGCCTTACAGCAAACCAAGCCTCACCTTTCTCACTGTTTTATGTCCTTCTGATGCAGGCCCATCTGATTCCGCCAATCTCTAACAGTGTCCCTAACCATCTCACCTCCATCACATCATCTTGTTTTTCTTTAAAATATCTACCCTGTTTGCAGTTGATCATTTACTGATTAGATGTGAATTTAACCAATTGAAGATTATAAAAACTATAGATTTAAAAAAAAAAACAGGTATCTTTATTTTAAAAAGTAATTAAGTAATTAAAACAATCCTTCAAAGATTGAGGATAGACATGTAAATGTTACTTGCAAAATTTTGCACATGGTATTAGGAGTACAGGAAATCTAGAGTTAACTCAAAAGTGTACAGATGCTTGAGATGACACTCTTTTTAAAAAAATTCTTTTGTATTGATTTTGCATACAAAATTCGTATACATTGTATTTCATACAATCATTCACAATGCATTGTGCTTTATAAAATTAGTCACCATCCAAATATGCCCACCACAACCCCATCTTTTCAAGTCTCTGCTGGATCTTTCTTAATTCCTTCACAGATATGAAGGACTGGATGTACATTATGACATATTTTTAAACATGCTGCACAATTTATTTTCAAAAGGAAATTTAAATCAATTTCTCTGGAATCTCTAAAGCACCTTGGCTTATCGTTTGATACCCTGTTTTGCTTTTCTTCCCACCCCCCGCCCATGGTCGTGTTTTCTGAATAGGTCATATAAGAGACTTGAGGGCATGAAGCGCATCTTTTGTGCCTTTGTTTCCAAAAATGATCTCTGCTTAGATTTAAATACCCAGCAGTCCTTCACCATTGATAATCCAATTTAGCCCAGACAGTTGTGCAGCCTTTAGGATTAAATAGTGGGGTTGGATGATGTCACGTTGCGTTGAGGCTGGAGGGCCTTGATAGAGTGCAAAGAGGTTGAGATTTTTTTCCCTTTTATTACATTTTCTTGACATTTCCTTTACCCTAGAGCACAGGAGCCAATTGTGAGACTCAAATTAGCACTTTGAAACTCCAAAGTCTGCCCAAGACAAGGCTGAGTGAGAAGCTCCCAGCAGAGGAGAGACAGATAACAATGTTTCATGTCAGCCTGGAGGATAAGCTGAACACTCTACAGTGTTAGCAAAGGAGGAAGGGCCCTTACAAGCTATGTGTCCTTATTAAAGCTGCAGGAACTAACTAGTTTCAGCCTAGAAGTCTGAAATCACAATTTCAATATTCTATTATATTTTACTGTCCTTTAACTTAATTAAATGATTGCTTGACTAGAAATTTTAAAGGTCTTATTTTGAGTTGGCCCATTCAGAAATCAAGGTTATCAACACAGACTTCTTCTGCCTCTCCCTTCCACCCCTAGCTTCAAACGCATTTCCACTGTGTAAATACAAGTGGATTAACCCTTAATCACCTAAGGCTTTCCTGGCTTGGTCACTTCTACCACCAGGCAGTGGACAGCTGTATTCAGAAATGGTGACCTGGTGCATTTGCCCTGCAAGAGTTGAGTACAACAAATATCTCTTACTCATTTAAGTGGCGCTCAGAACTTGCTTAGCAAAATCTTCACTTCATCCCCAGAAATCATGTAGAACCAATAAGGAGCTTTCTAAGCTTCCAGCCTTCAGCTCTTTCTTGTTTTTCAGTGTGGGTTTCTGAAAACAGTCATTTTCTTCCTTCAGGAGAAACTGTCAGAGGAAGAGAAGAAGCACAGAGATGCTTTGGAAGAGCTTCACATGGTGGGAGAGGAGGATCTGAGGAGCGAGAGCAGCGGTGCAGATGGCGGGAAAGACAAAACCAAACTGCTGTTAGAACGATTGAAAGCTCTTGAGGTAGGAAATAAAACCATCATTATACATCTTAAAAACAATGTCAATGCTGTGCTTTTACTGATACTGCTGTGCAGTGAGCATAAACCTTCTTTTCTCAGTTCACCATGAGGAATACAATCCAGTGTCTCCCACTATGAGTGGCTGGCTTATCAACGATGTATAAACAGTTATACTTTGTAGGACTTGAAGGGGTCTTAACCCTAGTGTTTGCCCACAAAAAACCCAACACAACAGTAGTTCACTTTAAGACTAGTTCAGCCCTGAAGTGGATAATTTCCTATGTAATTTTACTATGTTCAGAGTAAGTAGGCTCAGCAGGGGTCAAAAGAATGAATGAGTGAAATAACCAACTGTGCATCAGTATGATTATAAATTTTTAAAACCAGTTTGAACAGTTGAACCATTTCTTTTTAAAAATATGCATAAATTCTACATCTATGAGATGTATAGAAGGTTGACACTGGGCTGAAAGGTTGCTCGAAGAAGTTGCAGGCCATTGATTAGTTACCCTAGATTGATTCTAATTCGCGGTGATCAAGTGCATCAGGGTCGACCTGTGCTCCAAGGGTTTCGTGGGTTCAGAGGTTTTTCAGAAGGCGGTGGCATTTGAACCATGTCTTCTAAGATAGCAGCCCAGCCTCCAGAACATCAAGCAAATCCTAAACAAAACCAATGCCAAATCCTCCAAAACACAGTTTGAAAACCACACTCTTACTTTGGTCTATTACTTTGTAGCATTTGACATCACTTCAAGGATTAATCACTAAATGTTTAGAATAGTAATCTAGTAATTACTAGATTTATTAAAATAAATATTAAAATAGTAATGTATTTTCATTCAGTCTACCTTCTCTGCAAATGTGCATCACAATTAAATCACAACTCACAATTAAAATAAAATTTTATTTAAAAGAGATAATAATCAGAGACTGTTTAAGTTACTATTTTTTGGTGTGACTTTCCATGCTAGGTGAAAATGTTTTGTTTTGTTTTTTTCTGGAAATAGACCATTTATCTTTCCATAAATTCTGTTATTAATATAAAAGTGGGTTATAGTTAATTTTGATCAAAGGGTATTCTTATCCCAGCTTCACTTGCAAACCATGAACAAGGAGTCTTTCCTAAACAACTACAAACATAGGTAACTGGTAGAGTCTACAGAATCCTCAAGACTTGGGTGGTGGGAAGGAAATTTTTCCCTCTGGCAGTGAGAAATCTATGCTTGGGATCAATACTACTCTTCTTTCACCACATTATTTAGAGCAGGTGTGTCCTTTTACTCTAGCTCCATTTGCAACAACAAAGCAAAATGGGTAAAATTATTAACTTTAGACCCCAACTGCTGAGTTGTAGCTTGCGTTCACGCTACTCCACTTCCAGAAAGGAACTTCATGTTTTAGTGTTAATGAATTGCACTGCCAACTCAAAGGCAAGAGATTTGAATCCACCAGCTGCTCCTTCCGATAAAGATGGGCAGTCTCCTCCCATGCAGTTTACAACCTCTGAAAATCTGCAAGAGGGTTAGGTATGAGTTGATTTCAACTTGATATAGTACATAATAGCAATTCCTTCAAAGCTTCAAAATCTTTGGCAAGTTGCTTTTTCTCTCTGTGTTTCTGTTTACTCATTTGCAAAATGGGGAGGAAGACATGTATTCAGGACTGATTAAGTAGCACAGAACAATACTACCTTGCTTGGATGTAATTACCTTTTAAGTTGTTGACATTTGGACAACATTCCAGCCATGTGGACTCTTCTAACCATTAACTATTGGGCTTTTGCCTACAACGGTTAGACAAGAACTACCAATAGAAAAAAATCAACTGCACAGAGAGAAGTAACCAAGAGGTGCTTTCAACAATAGGACAGAAGAGAGATCAAGAAGGAAGCCTTCAGCGGTTCTTCCTGATATTTTCTGAGTATTGCATTGTTTCTCTTCCCTGAAAACTGAGTTTGTATCTGGAGAGCATTGAGAGGCTCATTGTTTTGACTTTTGGTTGAATTAAGTGGATTTCCAAAGTCAATGATAAGAATGAGTTGATCCTATAATTTCTTTCTTCTCTTGAACCAAGTACTTCAATCATTACTTTTTATTTATGATTACATTGCAAGTTTGTCTTAGTTCATTTAATTGTGACTAAGGAAGCTTGGTGAAGGACAGCTAGGAGGCATTTAAAAATATCTTTGCATACAGCTTTCCAATTTTGCCAGCACCATTTGTTAAAAAGGCTGTCATTTCCCCACTTAACTGATTTCATCTCCTTGTCAAAAATCAGTTGACCGACAGACACATAGATCAATGGAATAGAATTGAGAACCCGGAAATCAGCCCATCTATTTATGGGCAATTGATTTTTGACAAAGAGACGAAATCAGTTA